AGATTGTCCTTGGGGGGTTCAGTCCACCTGGGTTCCTACCCGTTTAGATTGTCCTGGGGGGCAGTCCATATGGGTTCCTACCCGTTTAGATTGTCCTTGGGGGGGTTCAGTCCACCTGGGTTCCTACCCGTTTAGATTGTCCTTGGGGAGAGGTTCACTCCACCTGGGTTCCTACCCGTTTAGATTGTTCTTGGGGGAGCAGTCCACCTGGGTTCCTCTACCAAATTTCATCCAAATTAGGTCAGCCAGTTCCTTGCAACAACTTGTGACACCAGTCAGACAGAGAACACTGCGTCACGGAGTAATTAGTGAACTATTTTTGAGCCAGTGTTTTATATTATACATACTCGAAGACAAGTAATTAAGTTGAAAAATAGTCTTCTTCATACACTCCTAGTGACACTAACTCTCATTTACCGCTCGCCTCCTAGTGGTATGTCTACGGACTTATACTGCTAGAAACAGGGTTTTGATACTCGTGGTGGGCAGAACACAAATAGTCCTTTGTGTAGCTTTGTGCTTAAATAAAAACAATATCTTCCGCTACTTTATGTTGTGACGCCCTCTGGCGGGAATCAGGAAGATCATACTTAGAAAAGTGGAAGCTTTTCAATTTAAAAGTTATTGCTGGCGTCTAATGAAATTCAACGATGTATGACAAACGATGTTTTAAAATCATAATAATACCTGTAGCCATAAAACGCCCAACATAGTATTTTATTTGGGTATTTTAATAAAAACTAACAAAAAAAAAGAATAACGTCAAAGCATCTCTAGTGTTTTTCGTTGAAAATTTTTAAATTTACGACTCAGATGCAAAAATCAATAAAATAAGTAAAGTGTTTCCTGTTTCATTTTATATATATTTTGTTTTTAATATATTTAATGATGCCTAGTTTAGAAGCCGTAGTTAATGTTGTTTTTTTTTAATTATATACTTTCAAAAACGACTTTGTTCTGATAAAAACATGATTTACGACTATCGTTGAAAGAAAAATAGTATGTGATTTCCGAAATATAAAAAACTTTGAAAGTCGTGAAAAACGTTGGGAGTCTGATTTAAATTGCTCGAGAACTACGGAGCTTTAGAAGAGATAAAATTAATGAAAAAAAAGACTTTAGAGATGTGTGAAAGTTTCGAGATAAAGTTAACAGAAAATATTATCCTTCGCTTTTTTAAGACAACTAGATTCGAAGTGTCTATAGTATTTTTAAAACATAACATTTGTCGATGGAAAATATACTGAATATATTACGTGTTCGAGTTCGTTAATAATTGTTATATAATATATTACGTGATCAAGTTCGTTTACAATTGTTATGTAATGTATTACGTGTTCAAGTTCATTGATAATTGTTATGTAATGTATTACGTGTTCAAGTTCGTTGATAATTGTTATATAATATATTACGTGATCAAGTTCGTTGATAATTGTTATATAATATATTACGTGATCAAGTTCGTTGATAATTGTTATATAATATATTACGTGTTCAAGTTCGTTGATAATTGTTATATAATATATTACGTGTTCAAGTTCGTTGATAATTGTTGTATAATATATCACGTGATCAAGTTCGTTGATAAATGTTATATAATATATTACGTGTTCAAGTTCGTTGACAATTGTTATATAATATATTACGTGATCAAGTTCATTGATAATTGTTATATAATATATTACGTGTTCAAGTTCTTTAATAATCGTTATATAATATATTACGTGTTCAAGTTCGTTGATAATTGTTATATAATATATTACGTGATCAAGTTCGTTGACAATCGTAATATAATATATTACGTGTTCAAGTTCTTTAATAATTGTTATATAATATATTACGTGTTCAAGTTCGTTGACAATTCTTATATAATATATTACGTGATCAAGTTCGTTGACAATCGTTATATAATATATTACATGATCAAGTTCGTTGACAATTGTTATATAATATATTACGTGATCAAGTTCATTGATAATTGTTATATAATATATTACGTGATCAAGTTCGTTGACAATCGTTATATAGTATATTACGTGATCAGGTTCGTTGATAATTGTTATATAATATATTACATGATCAAGTTCGTTGACAATCGTTATATAGTATATTACGTGATCAGGTTCGTTGATAATTGTTATATAATATATTATGCGTACCAGGAAGTTGATGATTGAGTTATATTATGTGTGTACCAGAATGTGTATAAATGATTTATATTACGTGTAGTGTAACGTTTACAACTGAGTTATACTATGTTTACCAGAACATTGATAACTAAGTTATATTATGTGTGTATCAGCCAGAGTTACGTATTTGTACATGTAGAGACAAGCAAGTAAATCGTGTATTACCACATCTTAAAGATGACAAAGAAATGTATTTCGTACTTTATGATTCATTCGTTTCCAACAAAATCATCTAAGACATTTAGCGCCTCCTTATGGAATTTCTAGCAACTAAATGAGACCAGACGTTTACCGATGGTTTAGTTAAAGATAAACTCAATAATTTTTGAAAAGCATTCGTTAGAAACATCCACAGAAACCAAAGATATGAAAACATTTATTAATGTGTAATTCAGTTGTCTTGTAATCTACTCTTAATGACAGTTGATACAAGAATAAAAATGTGTAATTCAGTTGTCTTGTAATCTACTCTTAATGACAGTTGATACAAGAATAAAAATGTGTAATTCAGTTGTCTTGTAATCTACTCTTAACGACAGTTGATATAAGAATAAAAATGTGTGATTCAGTTGTCTTATAATCTACTCTTAACGACAGTTGATATAAGAATAAAAATGTGTAATTCAGTTGTCTTGTAATCTACTCTTAACGACAGTTGATATAAGAATAAAAATGTGTAATTCAGTTGTCTTGTAATCTACTCTTAATGACAGTTGATATAAGAATAAAAATGTGTAATTCAGTTGTCTTGTAATCTACTCTTAATGACAGTTGATATAAGAATAAAAATGTGTAATTCAGTTGTCTTGTAATCTACTCTTAATGACAGTTGATATAAGAATAAAAATGTGTAATTCAGTTGTCTTGTAATC